GGAAAGAAAGAAAGAAAAGAAAGATAAATGAATGAATGAATGAATGAATGAATGAATGAATGAATGAATGAATGAAAACGAACAACCACATGAAAAGAAAAATGAATGAAAGAAAGGAAAGCTAGAAAGATGAATGAAAGAAAGGAAAGCAAGAAAGAAAAAAAGAAGGGTGAACAAATGAAAGAACAAAAAAGAAAGATGATTGAAAAAAGATAAACGATTGGACGAACGAAAGAAGGGTGAATGAATGAAATGAATCTTATAAATGAATGAACAAAGGAATAAACGAATGAAAGAAAACAAAGATGAGTGAATGAAAGAAACAAACAAATGAAAAGTAAATGAATGAAATTAATGAACAAATGAACGAACAAACAAACAAACATAAGAGAGAAAGGAAAGATGAATGAATGAACAAACGAACGAACAAGAGAAAAGATGAAGGAAACAAAGAAAGATAAATGAAAGAACAAACAAATGCACAAACGACAGAAAGAAAGAAAGAAAGAAAGAAAGAAAGAAAGAAAGAAAGAAATGTGAACAAAAAAAAACAAACAAGAAAAAGTCAATTTAATATAATTTAACAAAACCATTTAAATAACTAAACAATATTTCAATAACTGATAATAACCACAAACTCATGTAGAATATCATTTATAATTAAATATTTTACTGTAATTAAATGAACTGTAACAACAGTAAAATGATATTATGTACATCAAATATAAATTAAAATAATCATTTAAAATATCATAAATATTTATATATAAATCTAAATTTTGTATAAACAAATTGAGGTTTAATTTTAATATTTAACAGTAAATTTTGGTTTTTGTGTCTTTTCCATTAAATAAATAAATGTTGTTATATTGCCTAGTTGAGGAATAGGAATAGTAATGGAGGAGAGAGAGCGGGTAAATGGCCACGAGATAAAGCAGCACAGCACCGTGTGGTTTAACCATAAAGCTCCTCTCTCCTGGACCTCATGAGCAGGGCAAAGTGGGAGGCCCAGGAGGATCTGGTTCCTGATTCCCCAAGCCTGTCCTGATGGCTAAAACACAGCCATTAAAACACTCAGTAGGAACAAAGTTTCTGGGGGAAACCGCAGGCTCTCTTGGCCACATCCACAGCCGACTGGGGCTCCGTTTTAATTGAGACAGCCCGTATAAAGTCTCATGCTAATACCCTTTTGTCCACGGTTCTTGCTGCAGACCTTTAATTACGTCTTTCAACTGTGGCCATTTATTTCGTTTCAGCACAGCGAGAACAAAAGCCTCATAGAGACAAAGTATAAACGTTCATGCTCATATGACCAAGACCTAGAGTATATCATGATGCACCTCTCAGGTCATTCAGGGTGTCTTGGAGAGGTGTTCAAGCCTCAACAATTAGATACTCGGGTGCCTCAGGGCTCTGTTCTTGGACCAATTTGGTTTTATATTTACAGGGAATTGATAGGATGTCATTCAGACACAGATCTTCTTATCATCGCTACACTGAAGGCACTCAAGTCCACCTCACATCCAGCAATCTTGCTTTGGAAAACCTGACATATGAAGTTAAAGGTGCAGTATGCAAGTTTGACACCCAGTGGTTAAACTAGGTATTGCACACCTGGTTTAAAACACACACAAGCGCAGGTTGCCAGATTGACGACACCAACAGCAGTGTGCCTGACTACCGAGCCTAAAGGCTGATTTGAGTTGTGTTTAACGGAAAAGCAACGGCACACAAATATTTCCCCTATTAAAAGGAGATTTTAGAAACAGCTTCTGTTTCTCACAGGTGAACAGCAGCAAACTGACAATGATCAGCTCAGGTACACCTCATGTGCTTTATTCAATGTTAAATGCTAATGATGCGAGTTTGAATGCCACTTTACGTGACATTTATTGCCATAATACTGAAAGCAGCAGCTGTCTACGGAGCCCAGATATTGTGTTCATATTTCTTGTATGCCACAGAGCGTCATCTGAATAATTTTTGATATTTTTATGCAAATTTTTAAATATGCGAATGTGCGTATATTTAGATGTGCGAATGTGCGCGTCCGCTGTGTGTTACTTTTAAAAGGTCATGAAACAGCAAAACACATTTTTTGAGCTGTTGACAGTCGTATGTGCGTTCCACGCTGTTATAAACACTATTAGGACACATATAGTTCACTAAAAAGTGAATTTTTTTTTGCGTTATTTTGAGCAAATTCGTTCTTCTGGTTTAAAACAAGTTTTTGAAGCTGCGTCATGCAGATTACATACTTGTGTGTATTCCAGTGTGGAGACTGGATGTCTGTACCTGCGATTGCTTTGTGATGTCTCTGAGCGTGCAGCATTAATTCATGAGAAAGACTTGGCTCAAACCAATCAGCGCGCTCTATTGTGTATGAGGTGCAACCTCATTAATATGCATGATCGCTTCAAAGACTGTTTGTACCTGTACAGTGTTCAGACGGCAAAGAGATGCCACGTTGTGTTGCTAAAACAAGTGGGACACCAAGAATTTGGAGATACGGGTCGTCAGTGTTGCGTTTATTAATGTGCTGCAAGGAAGGTTTTGTTTTCATTTCTTGCTATGAGAGCGCAGCTGGACTCACGTGTGGATTACAGTGCACGCGACAGAAATACATTTGTTAGGAATATTTTTTACCCGAGAGCTTTTCACATCTGGAACTGATGAAATCTGGATTTGCCGCTCGTCTTATAAAAATTATAAAAATGATGCGGCTCCAGTTTGTGTTGATTGTCCTGTCTCTACAGATTTGGTAAGGAAGCGATCAGTGGTCTTTGTTTGTTTATTCAGATGGCAAATTTAGTTTGTATCATCAGCAGTACTCTGTCAGTGTTTAAAGAAAGACCTCAGTCAATATGATTTAGATACTAACGCCCAATCCCAATTCAACCCCTTAGCCCTTCCCCTTACCCCTACCCCTCGTTTTGCGCGTGCATGCCAAGGAGTAGGGGTGTCCCAATTCTCTTTAGCTTGAAGGTGTAGGGCTAAGGGGAAGGGGTGAAAAGCCCTTCGAACGAAGATTTTTCAGGACCACACTCTTGAAACCAAGGGGTAAGAAAATTTCCTAGAATGCACCAACCCCAGCAGCAGTATTACTGAACCCGGAAGATCCACAAATTAGTATTTTTTGTCACTATTACGAATTTTTATGACAAACAAACATGTTTTAATATATTCATAGCCGCGATCGTGTTTTACTGTCATGCTTTTTTTTTAAAAAACGCACAAAAAAAATAATAAAAAACCACCAAATTTCACGATCTATAATCCCTATTAAATAACTCCTGTACAGCAGTCCCACAGCATTCTGACACTGGAATACCCTGTCAGTAATGTCTAGTGGCTGTCAATGGGCTTTTTACAGTGTCTCCTATAATGTTAGTGTTGTTTTTGTTGTGTTTACATTGATGAATATGACCACTGTGTAATTACACAGTACAGTTACGATCTTATTGCCGCATTAGATCGTTATGATAACATAATATATGCCTTCAGTGATCTCCTGAAGATAAATACCAAAAAATAACACAACTGGAATCCCTCCAGCAGTCGCCATCGTCTGATCTCACAGGAAGCAGGAGATCGCAAGGACATATGATGACGTGTGCAGGTGCTGTAGTGCTGTCCCATTTCTTAGGGGTAAATCACTACAATATTATGGACTGAAAGATCCGCTGTAAATGCTGCTCTCCGAATGTAAACGTGTAAACACCTCAATCAAACTATTACCATCGTGCACAATTTTCGCCGTATTTTGTGACAGGATAGTCTATACCACGGGTCACCAACCCTGCTCCTGGAGAGCTACCCTCCTGCAGAATTCAGTCCCAACCCTTATCAAACACACCTGAACCAATTAATAGTACCTAAAGCAGCACTTGATAATTACAAACAGGTGTGTTTGGTCAGGGTTGCAACTGAAATGTGCAGGAAGGTAGCTCTCCGGGAACAGGGTTGGTGACCCCTGGTCTATACATACACGGCTTAGTTATGGAGAAATGCATTGTTGTTTTTTTTCTCCCATGCGCCGTGAGGTATCAAACATTTTATTAAAACTACACTCTTCCAGCAGTTCATCCTCGCATCCAACATCTCATTTGTCACAGGGGGCATGCAGGAAGTGTTCCTGAATGAAAGTGAAAGTGCCAAACTGCAGTTAAAGTCCACAAATTAAGAATTTGGCAAATGATTCGATTACTGATGTCCATGTAAACACAGTCACAGTATTTCTCCCCTGCGTCTGTGTTTGTTTTGCCCCTTTGAAAATCAGAGCGTGCCCAAATGGAAACTCCCATTTTTATGCAAAATCTTCGCTCTTCCCCTCCCCCCACAACCCCAACTTAACCGAGCTGGACACACCCACTTTCCTGACTTTTTCCAAACTAGAGGTGTGAAAACACCCTGCTGAAACAGGGGGTGTTTGTGACCCTTTAACTGTCATGTGCGCAATGCAATCAGTGTGCAACCCTCTTAAGAATGGAATCTGCTTTGGCTTTGTGGATCAGTGACTGCAGGAAAAAGAACATTACTCCTGATGCCAACATTATCCACACAAAAGCTAAAAAGCTTTATGAACCTTTTGCTGACAGTGATGAATGTTTTGAAATAGGTTTTGAACTTTGGTTTCATTCTATAATACTGGCCTTTTTTTTCTTTGAACTTTCTTTGAGAGTTTTAAACAAGAGAGAAATGTGAGAACAGCCTTAAAACATCTAGAATAAGTCTAAAAAATAAAGTGGACTACTTCACAGATCACTAGTTATTTTTAGAACGTAACTTTCGTGATTAACGAGGGACCACTGTACTCCAAATTTTGCTTGTATTTGTGTGCTGCTTTCATTGTCATTTACCAGTTTATTGATCTGCATGTAAAACTCGTAAACTGCTGAACAAACCATTGTGTGGATTAACCCGATTAAAATGCTGATCAGCAGATGGATTGTGGGTGTGTTACAGTGAATATAAATTGAAGTATACACATTTATCCTGACCTCTAGACGCTCCTGCTTGACCTCATCCAGCTCATCGTCCTCCATCAGTGTCAGATATTCCCCCGTCTGGTCAATGGAGCTCAGGAAGTCCTGCGCCAGACGCTGCCTCTTGTTTGCATTGCTGCTGCTGCTGCTGTATTTGTCTGAAACACACAGACAGGTAGATGGGTTTAGAGAGAGTGTGCAGCATTCAGAGGGATGCACCGAGTTTGATCTACTCATATTATAAAAGGTTGTTCATTCTCAGGCAACATGGGTAAGCAAAACTCTTTGTCAACAGCAATCACATGTGGTGACCCACAAGGTTAAAAAGTCCTCTGTTTTTGTTGCTTTATACATGTTTCCTTTTGGTTCAAAAATATAACGCCTAGTATCACAGTTACGCTGACAATTCACAAATGTATCTACCCAGGACTCGAAATGAACCTTTTTGCTTGGTAGTGTAACCCCGCTGGTCCTACACCACCCAACCCGCTCCGAGCTGGTATCGAACCAGCGACCTTTCGCATGGGAGTCGGTTGCTCTACCAAGGAGGCTAAAGACCATGGCCTCTAGCATCTGTCGCTAGAGCTCCTTTAGAGGTCAGAGGAGCGAGGTTTTACCTGCACAGCACTTACTAGCTGGCCTCCGTTACACTCACCCCCCTAAACCTCACTCCCATCCGGGACACGGCACCAATGTAACCCCGCTGGTCCTACACCACCCAACCCGCTCCGAGCTGGTATCGAACCAGCGACCTTTCGCATGGGAGTCGGTTGCTCTACCAAGGAGGCTAAAGACCATGGCCTCTAGCATCTGTCGCTAGAACTGCTTTAGAGGTCAGAGGAGCGAGGTTTTACCTGCACAGCACTTACTAGCTGGCCTCCGTTACACTCACCCCCCTAAACCTCACTCCCATCCGGGACACGGCACCAATGTAACCCCGCTGGTCCTACACCACCCAACCCGCTCCGAGCTGGTATCGAACCGGCGACCTTTCGCATGGGAGTCGGTTGCTCTACCAAGGAGGCTAAAGACCATGGCCTCTAGCATCTGTCGCTAGAGCTCCTTTAGAGGTCAGAGGAGCGAGGTTTTACCTGCACAGCACTTACTAGCTGGCCTCCGTTACACTCACCCCCCTAAACCTCACTCCCATCCGGGACACGGCACCAATGTAACCCCGCTGGTCCTACACCACCCAACCCGCTCCGAGCTGGTATCGAACCAGCGACCTTTCGCATGGGAGTCGGTTGCTCTACCAAGGAGGCTAAAGACCATGGCCTCTAGCATCTGTCGCTAGAACTGCTTTAGAGGTCAGAGGAGCGAGGTTTTACCTGCACAGCACTTACTAGCTGGCCTCCGTTACACTCACCCCCCTAAACCTCACTCCCATCCGGGACACGGCACCAATGTAACCCCGCTGGTCCTACACCACCCAACCCGCTCCGAGCTGGTATCGAACCAGCGACCTTTCGCATGGGAGTCGGTTGCTCTACCAAGGAGGCTAAAGACCATGGCCTCTAGCATCTGTCGCTAGAACTGCTTTAGAGGTCAGAGGAGCGAGGTTTTACCTGCACAGCACTTACTAGCTGGCCTCCGTTACACTCACCCCCCTAAACCTCACTCCCATCCGGGACACGGCACCAATGTAACCCCGCTGGTCCTACACCACCCAACCCGCTCCGAGCTGGTATCGAACCGGCGACCTTTCGCATGGGAGTCGGTTGCTCTACCAAGGAGGCTAAAGACCATGGCCTCTAGCATCTGTCGCTAGAGCTCCTTTAGAGGTCAGAGGAGCGAGGTTTTACCTGCACAGCACTTACTAGCTGGCCTCCGTTACACTCACCCCCCTAAACCTCACTCCCATCCGGGACACGGCACCAATGTAACCCCGCTGGTCCTACACCACCCAACCCGCTCCGAGCTGGTATCGAACCAGCGACCTTTCGCATGGGAGTCGGTTGCTCTACCAAGGAGGCTAAAGACCATGGCCTCTAGCATCTGTCGCTAGAACTGCTTTAGAGGTCAGAGGAGCGAGGTTTTACCAGCACAGCACTTACTAGCTGGCCTCCGTTACACTCACCCCCCTAAACCTCACTCCCATCCGGGACACGGCACCAATGTAACCCCGCTGGTCCTACACCACCCAACCCGCTCCGAGCTGGTATCGAACCGGCGACCTTTCGCATGGGAGTCGGTTGCTCTACCAAGGAGGCTAAAGACCATGGCCTCTATCATCTGTCGCTAGAGCTCCTTTAGAGGTCAGAGGAGTGAGGTTTTACCTGCACAGCACTTAATAGCTGGCCTCCGTTACAGTAGCACCGGTGCTCCTAACTTTAAAAGTTTAGGTGCATCAGCCAAAATTAAGTCGCTCCCACGAATTATAAGCACCGTTACTACAAGTGTTACACAAACATATTTATTGCATTTGAAATCAACAGTAAATAAACTAACAAGCAAAAAAAAAAAAATATATATATATATATATTTTTATATATATATATATATATATATATATATATATATATATATATATATGCAAGTGTGAGCAAAATGTGTTTCAACGAAATCTCGTTATCACAAGAAAATAGATTTTTATAACATAACTGAGTGACCAAAAGGTACACGGACGCTCACCAGCCCTGAACGCACTGCTTGACATGAATGAATCTGTTAGCGATATAACTGTGCTGTTCTCACGGGTGCTGTCTGATATTGCACTGATGCTTTTGACATATACTGTACCTTATTATATGCATGTGTCATGTTAATAGCAATATTTTTTATGAGTATCGATACTAGTTTAGTCAGTGCAAGCCCGTTTGTGATGGTGTACGTGGTGTTAAATTTGACATATAGCTGCCACTTGCACGGCGGACAGCATCTGGTAATTATATGAAGGATTAAACTGAAGCTCTCGTGCTAGATGTGGCAAATAGTTACCTGAAAATTCCATCCCACAGACTTTTTATAGCGGACTTGAAGCCAACTGAAGTCTTTTATTCACTCTTCTAAAAGTGTAGATGGTGGATTAACATTCAGCACATGGTCACTAGTAAGATGTGTCATTATTTATAACTTTAGATGCCTTGGTTTCTAAAACAAAATCTGTCAGTGTTGTCTTCATTCTCATCTTCAACGCTTTACAGAGTAGCCCTCTCTGTCATCCCAAGCCAGAAGGCATTAACTGAGTGATTGACAGCTGATATTTCAGTGCTAGAGCAGTGGTGGGCCAACAAGAAGAGCGTGAAGGCGGGGAAAGCACTACGGACTTGGCTTTGTTTACTGCAGCAAGTTGATATGACAACTGTTTTAAACCATTCTTGAGCGCTGCGTTTCGCGTTTCAAGTGCAGAGATGCATTCTGCGTGAATGTATCCCAAATCCGCGCATGTGGTGAACAAAAACTGGTCGCACACAACAATTTTATACACTCGCACAAATGCTACCAAACATATTTTGAGGTCGCATGGACAAAATTTCGGGCACATGTGCGACCAAAATGGTCGCAATTTCGAGCCCTGCTACCTGTCGAATCAGCTGTCTGGAATACTCTATTCTGATTGAATCAGACGGGACATCAGACGTGACATTCCAAGACATGTTTCTGCCAGCTTTGTATTTTTTAAATGTTAAGCACCATCTTGTTTCTGAATAATGCGCAGGTTAGTGTATACTACATCAGCTGTTTTCGCTACTGTCAGCTTTGTGTTTTTGACTGTTTGGCGCCATCTTGTGTCTGAATAACGTGCAGGTTAGTGTATACTCCATCAGCTGTTTTTTCGCTACTGTTAGCTTTGTGTTTTTGACTGTTTGGCGCCACCTTTGTCTGAATAACGCGCAGGTTAGTGTATACTATATCGGCTGTTTTCATTTCTGTCAGCTTTGCATACTTCTTGTGACTAAATAATGTGCAGAATTACTATTATGGCTCAGAACAATGTGTAATAAGTGGGATAAAGTACAATTCAGCAGGTTGCTATTGCAGAATAATTAAACTAATGAAACTTTAGTGTAAAGTGTGACCTATAATTTTAAGTATGTATTCATTTTTAAAGAACAATCACAAGTTGTGAGTCTAAAAGCATCCTCAAATAAACACCAAATATTTTCTTTCTGTTTAAAAAACTCCCATGGTGCACCTTGTGAAGTGTTTGATAATCGCTATGTCACTTTAAGTGAGCAGATCAAAGCTCAATATGAATAGAAACTCAGATATGAGACTTTTGCAAACTATGACTATAAATTCCACATCGGCACACAATATCAGCTCAAGCACAGAAAACCCCTCTCAGAGTTTCCAGCATGTTCCTGCAATACCAGCCCAAAAAAACAAGGAACGTGTTCATCAAATGAAAGGAAATACATTGATTAAACACACTTCAGTGAAGTAACGTCTGCTAGTGAATGACAGAAACAACCCCAGAAAATGTTTAATCAAGCTTACTGAATGTATAACACCTAAACAGCAGCTGCTTTTCTGGCCTTCGGGTTGGCAGAGACTGGCACAGCTGTAATCGTGGACTTCCTCTGGAAACGGAGCGACTCAATCAAATGCTCGAAACGTCACTTCATATAAACTCACTTTAAATTGTTACACATACATCAGCAGACATAATTAGCAGCGTGTTTCTGGCTTTAAATAGTCCTTAATTTGACATTCGATACAATATTTGGATGAAAGTAAGGCCTTGGAAAATCTTGGTTTGGATGAATAGCTAATCTAATAATGATAAAATGGTGCATTAAAATCAAACTACATAAACACTAGGAAATCTCAGTGAATTCATCCTTCAACATTAGGAAGTAAAAATAGCTGTTTTTAATGAGTCTGTAACAGGGTGATCAGGAGAGTTTCAAAAGTAGCAGATGAAAATATAAAACTATGAAATTATAAAACAGCTCAAAATCTATAGATATATAAATTGTTTTAATTTAATGCATTTTTGGAGATTTTACGACCTTTAATAATATCTAAAAGAACAACACACTTCAAAAACATTAACTTAAAATCAAATTAATTCAATTTAAATTAAAAATTTTAATAAATTAAATTTTAAAAGTAAAATAAAAATAAAATAAAATAAAGGTAATAATATAAAATAAAAGTAAAATAAAATAAAAAACATATAATAAAATAAAATAAAAATAAAAATTTAATTAAA